AGGCAGTGAAGCAAATAATTCATGTACCTATCCAATCTCTACTCTGACTTCACAGCTTTATGCTGAAAATAAAGTGACTATGAAAAAGTTTCACAAAAATACACTGTTACTAGAGGTTTTTTACAGACTGTCACCTCAAAAAACTTCCACTATTCCACACTATTGAGTTCAGTTCAGGCTGCAGTAGCAACATTGTACTACTCTATTATTTAAAAAAAAATTAAAAACCAGTAATAGATATACACCAAATATAAGAATGCTGCAATAAAAATCAAACTTTCAGTAATAAAATCAAACTTTCTATTTGCAAAGCACGAAAGCAGCATTATGTAGATAATCAAATGCAGGTAAATGGAAACTGTTGGTTTAATAAACCACAGCTTGGCAAGGACAAACATAAAAGAGCTTTATTCCTGTAGTACAAGGCAGCTGGATTTTTTACTCAAAAAATTCCAAGTGATCACCACCTGCCCTCCTGTGGAAGAACTCTGCCTCTGCAGCACTGCTCGTGGCCAGCCAGAAATACCAGTTTGCACTGGGGCTTAATTTTATCAGAACAGCCCAGGCTTGTCAGGATGCAGCTCTAGTGCATATGAAAGGTCTTTTTGGAGATATTTTCCAACCTAAATCATTAGTAAAATTCATCTCAGGAGACAGGTTCCTCTTAACAAGAAGTTGCTCAAACCACTTCAGTTCCTCTAGCAAATCCTTTACCTTTCCCAGGCACTTTCAGAAATACAGAACTGCTTGTTTTTGCTAAAGGAGGAGCAGCTGCATTTCCTATATCCACACAATGCCGTTTTTAAAGGCCCTGATTCAATATCCAAGGTAAGAACTACTGAAAAGGGAAGATGAAAGAGAGAGGGCAAGCAGCTGGATCTGATTCCCAAGCCATTCCTCTGCAGCAACATAACAAAACATCCAGAAGGACAAGCCTTAAAAATTAACTTTGCTCCTTCAAACAGAGCAGTAGCCAAAGTCCAGGCAGCCCATTCCATGCCACAGCCATGCAGAACAACAGTTCCAGCAGCAAATCCCCTGGGCTCATTGTTCAGAGACAGATCCTGGGGAGAGCCTGTGCTCCTCATTCCCACTCCTGCAAACTGAAGGAGACAGGGCAGCCAAAGGCTTCAGCTGGGGCCACCAAACAAACCAAAGTGGGACACTGTGGGTGAGACAAAAATGGAATCATCTTTCTACTTGTGCTGCTTCACACAAATGAAGGCTAAAACTGTTTATCAGGCAGCAAACAATGCTGATCAAGGGAAGAAAATCATCAAGGCAAATCCTGTCATGTTTGGTGGACTCTCAGAAAACCCTGCAATGTACCCAAAGATCCCTGTGCTCCAGCAAGGTCCTTTTCTTTTTAGGATAGAATTACCTCTTTTTTTACTTCAGTGTTACACAAAACACACACTTAAGTTATCTGCAGTGTCTTAGAGAGAAATTCCACTTACCTGCATTCCTTATCCTTTCTTTGTACTGCTGGTCCAACTTCTTCATCCTTTTCTGATATTCCTGAAGAGTACCTAGTGGAAATAAATTGTAGATTCCCATTGTATTTTTTTCACAAGTATTAAATATCCTTAAGGAGTCAGACACCACTCAAAGCACATTCCCTGCTTTTGTAAGAAGTGGATTACTCCTTTTAAGAAGTGTTTTAGCAGAGAGGCTTAACTCCAAGTGGATGGGAAGCAGCTGACATTTTCAACTCTGCAGCACAGCTGAGAACCAACACGTAGTGAAAGATGCTGCTCCCATCCTTCTATGACATTTGAAAAGTGCTGAAAATAAAACCCAAAGCCACTCTTCTAAGCTTACCTTCCTGCAGCTGCTGTAACTGCCTCTTCAGAGATGCCAGTTTGTCCTGATACATCCTGCAAGCACAGCAGGAAACTTTAAACACCAAGCACACATCGCTTATTCCATATTCTCTTGAGGTTTCATGTTTACAAGGAATCAAAAACTTCTCAGAACTTCAGGAAACAAATGAACTGCAAACTTAAAGAACTTTATTCCCATGAAAGGGTCTCATTCTGTCTTAAGAATGGGTTTAAAATTTGGATAAAATAGGGGGTTTTTGTTGCTGTTGTAACCTAAAATGACATTTAGATCTACAAACATCAGAAGCTTTACAGCAGAATCATTCTTGTACTATATCAAGTTTTATTAGCTGTGTACTAGCTCCCCACATTATTTTAAAAACACACTGAAGTCTATTCCTGGTGCTGCTGCAAACTTGCATTTCTTTTACCACACATCTGTGGTTTAACACTGGCCAAATCTTCCTGACCTGTATAAAAACAGGTCTCTGCCAGTAAGCAAGAACTCAAAATACTGCAAATCTCCTACACAGCATGGGCAGACTGTTTCAAGTCTCCCAAAGGTCCATTTCTGGTTCAGGACTAGAATTCTATTGTTTAAGCCATTTGGAAAGGCATTTTACTTTTCCTTAGCTTATCTAAAGCAGAACCTTTATTTTATTTGAAGCATTTATCTGCAGCAGGATCCATTTGCAGCTGATCCCAGAACTCATGATTATTTCTTTGCCTAAAACAGCAGTAGCCCTTAATTCCTTGAATTTATACAGAACAGAGAAAGTAACTGGGGAGAGCAGAAATACAAGTGTATGGACTCATGAGCTGTTTCACTGGGGTAAGCACTTAAAACTTCCAGTCTTGGCCCAAAATTTTGCCAAGTTTTAGGCAATAAATACCCCTAAACCCACAAATCAATAGAACATCACCTTATTTGTATTTGGAATGGGTTACTTACTGTTCTTTCATTTCTACAAAGTCCTCCTCCTCATGCTTTGCCAGGTCTGTTTCACTGGCATCCTCAGTGTCTAAACAAGGCAAAAAACAACTTGTTTAAATTGAAAAAGTATTTAAAAAAGAAAAACCAAGCTCAGTAGTAAATTATTTAAAAACAAGGAAACAGGCAAGCAAAAAAGAAATCCCCAAACCTCAGGCAATTTAGCATCAAAGACAACCTGAGAGATGAATTCAGGAGGGAAATGAAACATCTCATGTTCCTACAACTGTGAGTTTTGCATGAACAGCTTCAACCTCAGCCTGGGAATTTCTTCTCATTTAAGATGAGGGGCTCTACATTAATACTCACACACAGGTGAGACACAAACAGCCTAAAGACCTGAAAGACGTTTCACAAACCTGTAACTGGAGTTCCACCCACTCAGTGCTGCTCAGGTTGACCACAAAGCTCTCACCAAAGGGAGCAGTTACTGCCTGGGACCTGAACTTCTCACCTATCCTTCACTTGGTACTGCAATATTCAGATACTAGCACTGCCATAAACATAGCTGCACTTTATAAATAGTATAAACTGTAAATAAAGTAAATCACTGTGGGATTGCCAGCTTGATGCTAAGACTTTTCAGGCTTTTATTTGTAACATGTGGGGAGCCAAGAATCCATTACCTTGCCAAAGAGAGGCAAGTGCCTCCAGACTTTACAGGGTAGAGATGAGAAACCTGAACCACAGCTAATTCCCTACACATGGCAGGGGAGCCCAGCCCCTTAAATCAAGCCTTTCTCAGATTTTTCTTAAAATACAAACAGTTTAAACTTAAGGTAAAATTTAAAGCACCAAAAATAAACCAAGAAGATTTTAACTACAAGACATGTACTTCAATGTCTGGGCCACCACAAATGATTTCCATGCTCTGTTGGGAGAGGCCCCACTGACCGTGTCTCCCTCTGCATGTTTAATGTTATCCCATCTTTAACCAGGCCAGAAGGGACAGGGGGCTCTGCTGCCAGTAACAGGCACTGCCCAAGAGTCCTCTACACCTCCCTTATCTGTTGTTTCATGCCCTCTGCACTCCTGGCTACCCTGGCTTTTTAATTTGCTCTTCTCCCTCGCTCTCTGGTTCTTGTGCTGTCACATCCTCCTGCACTGCTACACTTCTGTCCTTCCCCGTTCACACCACGGAGTCAGAACCCATACACCAGATTTCTCCGCTGTTTTCCCTCTGCTGTCGCACTCAGTCCCTGCTCAGCGCTCCCCGTGTCCCACTGTCCCCTGCTCACCTGGGAAGCCACAACTCTGCCTGTCCAGCGGCTTCTCTGGTTTAGTGTTCCGCGGGGAGCCGCTGCCCCCTGACAGCTCCGTGTTTCCCTCGGCTGCTCTCGCCGCCCGAACCCCCGAAGCCCGCAGCCCTTCCCCAAACACCGTGCGGAGCGGAGCGCTCCCCTCACACCCCCCAGGAGAACCCCCGCTCCATCCCCCCGGTCCCCAGGCACCGACCCGCCCCCTCCCCACACACCCTCGTCGGAGTCGCGGGCCCGGGCGCTCCGCTCGCCGTCCTCCTCCTCGGCGCTCTCCAGCTCCTCCTCCTCGTAGTAGTCGGGCGCGGGGGCCATGGCGGGGGCGGGCGGCCCCGGCGGGGCTGCGGGAGGCGCGGACACGAGCCCGGCCGCGCTCATGGCCGCGGGCGGGACGGGACGGAGCGGCCGCCGCTCGGCAACCGCGGCCGCGCTTCCGCTTCCGGGCGGCGCCGGGGCAGCCGCGCCCCCGCCCGGCCAGCGCGGGCCCTGCGGGTCCGAGGGTTACGCGTTCGAGTCCCGGCCCCGCCCGGTGCGTGGCACGGGGTTGGGCTGTGCTGGCGTGGGGGTTAACTCCTCAGCGATTTGTGGCCACCTGCGCTCGTGTTCATGGACCGGGCTCTGCTCAGAGGTGACAAGAGATAGGACAAGAGCAACGGGCAGAAACATGCACAGGAAGTTCCACCTAGAGATGAGGAAGAGCTTCTTCACTGTGCGCTGATCGAGCAGCAGAACACAGACCAAAGAGGGTGTGGAGTGTCCCTCTCTGGGGATATTCCAGAACCGTCTGGACACAATCCTGTGCCACGTGTTGGGGGATGACCCTGCTGGAGCAGATGATCCTGCTGTGATCCCTTCCAACCTGGCCCATTCTGTGATAGAGACACACAGCAGGACCTTGCCTCAGTGGGGACGGACTCATTAGGACACTCGTACTCTTTCGAATTTTATTATATTTTAATAGAGAAATTACTTCCGTGTTCCTCCTGGCAGAGCCCCGCCACAGAGAGCCCTGTGATCTCACCCGGGTGAATCAGGTGCCTCGTGCCAGTGAACAGCAGCTTTTGTAGGACACGTGCCTCACATCTGCCAGGTACTGGTTATTCTCCTGACTGGGCACTGCTACAAAATTAAAGATCAAGACACACGTCCTGTGGTCAGAGTCGTATGCAGGATCCCACTCCCCTCTGAAAATGCCTCACAGTGGTATTTTAAACTAAATATCTCATGTATCTTATTTCTGCAGCTCTAATTCGCCTGGGAACGACTAATTAATCTCATCACCTCCAGCACAGCCACACTAATCGCTCACCTTCAGCTGCGAGGTGCATTCCTCACGTGCACAGCTTATTGACTCACCGAGGCACTACAAACACCTCACCGAGGGGAAGGAAATGGGTTTGATCTGAAGCTCTGAGCTCCAAAACCCGCAGCGCCTCTCCCAACCCGCCGAGCCGAGTGCCCAGAGCAGCAGCAAGGTCGGTCACACCGTGTTCTCTAAGGGGCAGCAATAATGCAGCGCAGCCACTCGGCTTTCCTGCCGATCATCCCAAAGGTCTGTTTGCCCAGACTGACAATTTTTAACTCGGAACACCCATGCCAAGTATGCTCCGTGCCTCTTTCCTTAAGTCAATATTGCCTCTAACAGGGGACGGGGCTGAGGCACGGCCAAAAGTCGACACCGCCCCCCGAGCAGCTCCCAGAACTTCTGGGAGCGTTTTTGTCTCGGAGCAGAGACCCCACCAGAGCTGCTCACCAGCCCTCCTTTCCCAAGGAATGCTGTGGGTTATCAGCACGTTGGAAACCCCTCCTTTCCCTTCTCCCCGCTCAGGCAGCGTGGCTGGCACGGCTGCCCGCGGCCCCGGGGTGAACAGGAAAGGGCGTGGTGGCGGCTGCCACATCGCATGAGCTCCTGGTGCCCACGGCTCTGTGCTCTCCCCACGCTCACACCTGCCTTGAGCTCCTAAAGCACTCCCCAAAGCCATCCAGACACTCTGCTAAAAATAGAAACGGGACTGCAGGACTCTAGAAGAACTAACCAGAGCCCCCTCGGAGCTTTACAAACACCAGTGTTTCCCCTTTCTCCCCCATTTCCTGTCCGTATCTGTTCCATCTGTCCACACACTCGGCTCACAGGCTCCCCTGCCAGCCGGGTTTGTGCTGCTGGGAACACCAAACCAGTTCTAAGTGTGCCTGAACCACAGCAGCCCTCCCCAGGATCGTCTGCCCTGCCTCACTGCTGCCTCAGCACGTCCTGCTTGGAGCCGAGTGCCCTCCCAACACAGCCCTTCGCACATCGGGCAGGTGCAGGCACCGACACGAGGGCACAGGAACCCCCTGAACAGGAGCCAGTGGGTAAAAAAACCTGCAAACTGCAGAACTTTAGCTCATTCTGCGGTCAAAACCGGGATCTCAAAGCTGCTGCTCCCTCCGTGCTAGTTCCTCCTGTTTAATAGGAGCCTGCTGGAGACACCCTCTGCTGTCATCTCTCAGGCATTCAGTGGGAACCCGAGGGAGGAGGCTCAGCTTTAAGGAATGCCATGTTTCCCTTACAAACGCAGAAACTTAACTGTCTCCGCCCCAAGGAGCTGTCAGGGAAAGTGTAAAGTTCCCTGTCGAGCTGTTGTTCTTGGCTCCTGCTTCCATCAGAGCTGTTCTCCTCACAACTCACTCAGTGCTTTGTACTCGCTCCGTTTGGGGAGAGATCTCTGCCTCCTGCTTGCTCAGCACAGGGCTGCTGACAGATGAGTCGTGCTCACTCTGCTCTTCTTTCCACTCGTAAGAAAGAGGGGGAAAAAATGGGTTCTGGAGCTCAGCTTATAAACAGGAAACTCACTGTGCGAAATTACTCAACTACATTGAGAAGAGCTGCGTTGTACCTTGGCCTCTGAGCACAGGACACACCAACACCCCTCATCTGGGACTCAGGGCTCTCAGGTTTCTGTACCTGTGGTTTCACACAGCTCTCTGAGGATGGTTCTAGAAGCCCAAGAAGGGTAACAGCTGTCAGGAGCAAGGTGGCAGAATGAGGCTGCGTGAGGTACTGGCAGATAAAGCTCTGCTCCTTCAGTTTTATTTAGAAAAATGAAGTCATTAACCTCCCCTGTCAAATAAGTCTCTACAACTAAATAGCGTTAAGGTTCAGAGGCCACCAAGTGTGGCACAACCAGCATGAACACACCTTACCCTGCCTCTGCTCTGAGCAATTCCTAACGCACAGCTCTCAACCCCTGCTACAGCTCCTTTTCCTTTGGGGCTTTGCTGGCAAATCCCAGCTGCTCCTTTTGGGTAGAGGGGCCTCTTCCTGCCACAGGACACACAGTCCTTGTCAGGGCTCCCCCAACACCTGCAGCACAGGACTGAGGACTCTGAGCTGCCTTTTTACTGGGCCCAAGCACTGTCCCCTCACACTGGTTGTGGGTCCCAACGCCCCCCACACCTGAGAGCACTACAGACCCTGACAGTGCACACAAACAAACACACACACACACCTCTGAATTAATTATGGGCCCTGACATCCCTCCACGCACACCCCTGAGTCTGATATGGCCCCAACATCCGTTCCCCATACTTGAGACCACTGCAGACCACAACATCCCGGCACACACCTGAGGTTTCCATAGTCCCTGAAACCACTATGGGTCCATAAGCCCCTCAGACACACACCTGAACCTGCTGTGGGCAAACGAGCCCCGCACACACCTGAGACCACTGTGGGCCCTAGCACCCCTCACGCACAGCTGAACCCCGGCACGAACAGCCCCAGCTCCGCCCCAGCTCCCGCCGTGCCCCTCACGGCGCTCCCACCATCGCTCTCCCTCAGAGCCCGCTCCCTCCGCGGCACCGCGCAGGCGCCTCAGTCGAGCGCCGATGGCTCGGTGAGGCGGCGCCGCTCAGCGGCCCGGCCCGAGCTGCCAGGCGGCGCAGCCGAGCGCCGAGCGGGGCCGGGCAGGAAGCGGCGGTGACGGGCACGGCCCGGCGGACACGCTCCGTCCCCTTCTCCTCCTTCTCCTCCTCCTCGTTCTTCCCCGCCCGGGCCCCGCGGACGTGGCCCGCTGCCGCCGGCCGGCACCAGGTGAGGCACCGGCAGAGGGAGCGGCGCCGCTGACAGGCGGGTCGCGGCGGGGCGCGGAGGGCAGGGGGCAGCGCTGGGGCTGGCAGCGCGTTCGGGGCTGATACCGGCACTTATCGGCGCTTGGGGCTGGTAAAAGCACTTTGTGGGGCTCGGCTGCCCGGGTGCCCCACGGCAGGGGCTGCTCGGCGCCGGGGCAGCTCCCGCGGGGCTGTGAGTGCGGGCTGTGGGGTGTGGGGGTCTGAGACAGCCCGGCCGGGCAGGACGGGGCAGCAGCCCCGCACCCCGTGCCGGGGCACCGGGAACAGCTGCTCCTCCCTTCCCTTCTCCCTTCGCTTCCCTTCTCTCTCCGTGCCTTCCCTCGCTCCTGTGTGCCCGGGAGCTGTCCCCGGGCGCTCTCTGGAAGTGGGAGCTCCAGCAGAGCAGCCCCGAGCGGACGGGAACGCCCCGGTAGGAGCGTGAGGAGCGGAGGGAGAGCGGGCGGCTGCCTTCACCTGGGGCCGGGCAGGGCTCGGGAGAGCGGCGCTGCTCCGGGATCAGCCCGGGATCCGTGCGTGCCGGTGAATCCCGGGGAAGAGGGAGCTGCGTTCCTGTCAGCTTTGAGCGGAGTTGGAAGCAATGACGTCGGTGTGGTGCGAGCAGATGTCTCTGTCCTTTTAATGACACACAGAAATGGTTTGCTGTAGGTGCTGGATGCCATCGAGCAGCACTCGTACTTGCGTGGGAAGGAGAAGGAAGGAGGACACGAGGCAAGTAGTAAGCCTTCAGAATTTTCTTGTATAAATACATCTCCTCGTGTCTCCTCACCCCCCCTTCCCCGGGAACGTGAGTGGAATGAATTCCCTAATCCTACAACTATGGCAGTTCTAAACTTCATAGCCCTGGTAGATTCCTGGTTTTCCCTGCTCCCTTCCTGAGCCTGGGCAGAAGTGAGCAGCAGCTCGGAGCTGGATTTGCTGTCCCCAGCTGGGGGAGAAGCCCGTGGGACACTGCTCTGGGAGCTCTGTGGAATGCTGGGCTCACACACAGCCCGGCAGCAGCTCCGTGTTTGTTTAAAAACAGCGAAGCAGGCAGTGCTGATTCCAGCCCTGCTTGTGCCAGGAGGATTTGGAATCTCCCTGCCTATCTTTGTGGATAGTGATCCACACAAGAAGGTGGAAGCAGTCAGGTTCTGCATCCACGTGGATGCAGTTGCACAGAACACAGGGTGATTTCAAGTTGCTGGGTACAGCAGTGCTGGCTGAAGTTTGTGGTGCTTATGTTGTTTGAGAATAAGTGGGCTCCAGTCTTTTCCCTAAGGTCTGCTGACATATTTTAGCAAATGTTTAGAATGCTGCAGTGCTGGCAGTGATGCAGCTTGTTTTGCTAGTGGTCATTACTCTGATGTATCCCATACCAGATCTGTGAGAGGACACGTGTTGGTGTTTCTGTGTTGATGGATTGTTTGTGGAGAGAGATAATACACCACGCTTGTCCTCTCTATGAGCATAAAATGGGGCTGTTTCTGGTAGGTAGCTATTTTTGTGTTCTCTGGGGCTAATATAACAATATAGGGCATGTTTTACACGTAAATGCCTGTCTGTAATCTCTCTTTTAACACTGAGCTTCGTACAGATATCTGACAATTCTTTCATGCACCCACAGTGAGGCTGCAAACTGTTCCTATCTACAAAAATGTCTCATTTATCAAATCCAGATTTCTTATTTGCTGTCCAACTCATCATATAACTTCCTCTGGCATCTGATTTGAGGAAACCTTGTGCTGGGTTGTTTCCATCCACCCTTCTCTGTACAAGGGCTTTCAGATTGCAAACTAATTCTTGTTTGTATGTGTGTGTTACTTACAGTGATTCTCTCTAAGTACTTCCCTTTTGCATTGTTGCATCATTATGAGTTAAAAAGGATCTTAACAAGTGAAAGCTTTGAAAGGTGAGGTATTTCTACTTGTATGCATTCTAAATGTGGCTCTTGCATCAACAGGGTTTTACTGTTTGATTTGTTTTCCATTATGTGTTGCTGGATGGGGGAAACTTTCAGCAGGAACGAGCTCTGTTCCTTCTGAGTAACCTGCTGTGTTCTTTTAAAGGAAGAACCTTGTTTGAATGGAGCAGGGCTGGAGCTTGCTGGACTGCTGGGGAGCAGAGGAGGAGCAGGGGCAGGGCAGTGGTCGGGGAGTTTGGACCAGGAACACAGACTCGTTGTTTTCTCCTCTTACAAGTTTTTGTTCCAGGTTGTTCTGCAGCCTCGTGGGATGCTGCAACATCCAGCTTATGAGAAATGCCAGGGAAGGAGGTGTTTGTGGAGCATTTTACATTTTATTTATTTGTTGCTTTTGCACAAAAAAAAAAGGTGTCTAAGGTTAATGGTTTTAAATAGGAAATATATCTTTTGTTTTAAGACAAGCTCAGAGTTTTTTAACAGGACCCCTCTACAGTTCACTCACAGCATTTACACCAAACTGAGTTTGAATAAAAGTGCAGTTTTGGCATCAAAGGTGTTCAAGAAGTAGATTTTTATGAAGTTCTCTTTCAGCATGTGCTCAGCTTTATTAATGGACATGATTTCACACATCAGAGAAAATTCAAAAAGTGAACCCAAAAGAGTATTTTGTTTTATGCTTACTATTTTCAAACTACTTCCTCCTTTGGAGGCCATTGATTAAACCAGAAGGATCTGCTTGCCCTTGGCTGTGTAATAAACATGATGCAATTGCCTGGTGCCTGCTTGGTCATCAGTTCTTCCAGGGGCAGCTCAGTGAGTTTCCCTGACAGTCTTTTTATCACTCCCTGAAATCACTCTGGCAGCTTTGTTCTCATTTTCTGAGTGAAGTGTGTTTTAGAAAGTATTGATCTGGTAAATTTAGGGTTCCCTCTGGGTAAAAAGAAGAAAATCTCCCCTCTGATTTTAATATGGGCAGCACAGGTGGTGACTTTTCATTGTGATTGGGTAGAGGAACTCTCATCTGTGAGAGTCTCAGCTCCTCATTAATGAGGAGGAAAGCTGAAATAGAAATTAAATTAATTTGGTGTGGTCATCCATCTCTTAAGGTACCTAAGGATGTTGGAAATCCAAATTATTAATGGTACTGTGGCAGCTTCTCAATTGTTATAAAGCCCCACTTCCAGCATTAAAGAGCAATGTTCCTAAAATGACATGTTGCCCTTATTCTGTAGAACTAAGCCATGAAATATGAAAAATATATATTTTTAAAGATCAGTAGGTTTTGCTCTAAGATTCAATAAATCTGGAGTACTGCTAGTATTCATTTAAAAAATATTTTTAAATTTATTTAAATGAATTAGATACTAAAGTCAGGTTGGCTAATAAGTTTGTTCTTATTCAGGATGGCAAAGTACACATTGGATTTGAGCAGGTTGGAAGATTTCTTGTCCATATACTCATGTTTGTGTCACAAATTGTTAGTTTAATTTGTAAGGGCAGGGAAATTTCAAATTTAATATAGGGAGCTTACAAAACAAGTTTGTCTGAGTTGCTAATGAACTAGGCACTTATGCCCTTGGACAGGTAATAGCTTGATGTTGATGTAATTACTTTTTTCCCCCACCCTGAATATTAGGTCAAACTGGACTCTGGTTGATGTAGAATTTAATGACACCAGTCATTCTGTGGGAGCCTGTGGTCACTCATGGTCCCTCCTTGGCTACTAAAGGCTTTCACATAGGGACATTCTCCCAGTTTGGTCTCCATTTGTGCCTCCTCCTGCTGTCACTGTTAGTTATGATTCTGGGTTACCTGAGAGCCAAAGAAATTCCTCAAAAGATGGGCAAATTATGACCTTGGTGTCCCATGAGTTTGATTTGGGATGAGCAGGTTCTGTGCTGCAGGTGATGCTGTCTTTTGGGAAGAGAGAGAAAAAGCTGTTTTTAGGAAATAGTCACTGTGAGAGTGGAGATGTTAACCCAAAATCCTGGATTAAACCTCCAGCTGCATTGCCCTGGAGTTGAAAACACACACATGGGTTTGGTTTGGGTTTGTTACTTTTCTACAGAAAATCCTTCTGGGGAGAACCCCAGGATCCATGTGGTGCAGACCCTGGCACTGGGAGGAATGGATCTTGTATGCAGTGTGTGTATTTCCACACATATCAAACAGTTTAGGATGAAAGATGTTGGGACTACCAGATACCATCAACATTTTGTGAGCAGGATGTCATTATTAGATTGGAACTGATGAATGTCAAACATTGTGGTAAGTCTGTTTTTAGAGAGATGCAGCCTGTGCTCACTTCCTAAATTAAACCTAATTTTCCCCTAATTTTTATGTGTGAGCTGTGATTCTGTTGCACAGAATCTGGCATAATATTGAGCAGATTTATTTAGTGTTGCCCTTGAACGTTTTGAGTGTTTAAGCCAGATTTACAGGAACACAGTCAGTGATGATTCATGTTGAGATGATGTTTTTCTCCCTTGTAATGGAACATATGGGACTGTGTAGCATATGGTACCACTGAAAATTGTTAAATGTGGAGCACTGATTTATTACACAGCAAAAAGGGTTGGGGTTTTCAGTCTAACACTGAGCAGAAAGCTTGTAAACAGCTCTGGCTGTTGGTTTGTGTTTGGGTGCACTACTGTGTTGTGTGGTAATTTCAAAGGATTCCTTTAAATGGCAACAGAATGCTTCCAAAAGTTGTGTGTCTGCCTTTTCACTATGTTACAGCCTTGCTCTGTGGGATGACAGCTTAAAAAACCTGAAAAAAATCCTTTCTCAGATGGGAAGCAGAGGTATTAAAAATACATAAATATTTTTGTTCCAGTCTTACTATCCAAAACACCTTCCTTCTGTGTTTTGTTTGGGCTTTTTGTCTTTATGTGACTTCTGGAGTGTTGGTTTGTGGGTTTTTTACTGATGCAGGGAGAGGAAACAAACACACACCTTGGTCCTTGCAGTGCACAAGGGAAAGTGGACTAAAGTGCAGCTACAGAGAACATAAATTCCAGTCACCTATTTCCTTGTGCTCTGCTGTTTTTCTTAACTCTTCATCTTTGGATGATTGTAATCTCTCCAGAGCAGGCATTGCTTCTGCTCTGGCTCTGTGGGGTCTTGCTGCAGGGTAACTGAAGCTCCCAGGTGCTCTGGTCATACATTGGTAATTAATGGCTGGTCACAAATCTTCATTGATTAAGCTTTTTCAGAAATGATTTAAGCAAGAAACTTCATTTAAACCTTAAAATGGTGCTTGTGTTTGTCTTTTTTGTCTAACAACTCGATTTATTTGTACATCTTAAGGTGCTGATTAAAACAGACTTCATGCTAAATTTACTTTTGTTAGGCCAAAAATACATAATTAAGAAGAATATATATTGTAAATTTTTGGGATAAAAGTCAGATGAGCCTTTTTTCCTCCTTACTTGGTTAGTGACAATCTGCCTCTGAGTTCAGGTTTTCTTGTGTGTCTCTGCTTTTTCTGCCTGGTTCAGGTAAAGTTTGAACATGCTGTGTCCTTTAGAATGGCAACAGATATTTGACATCATTAAAAACTGCTGTTATTTAATAAAAGGAAGTTGTATCTACCCTGGAGGGAATTAACTAATGACCTCTTGTTAACCATCGCCTTCAGGATCTTAGATCCTCCCTTTGCTTGCCTCATCCTTAGTCATACATTGGAAGAGGAAAACAGGCTTTTTTCCCCTCCTTCCTTCCCTCCCAACTCTTGAGCAGTTTCTCAACTGGAGGTGAACTGATGGTTGACCTAAACCCTGTGAGGAAACTGAAGTAGGGACCACACTCCCATTCCCCTTGTGGAACGTCCTACTGCTGTTAAAACTCACAGCATCTCCATTAACTCCAATTCCCAGCCTTAGCCTGCACATTAAATGTTTTTAAACAAGCATTAGCCCAAATGAATTTTAATTTCTGGCATTTCTAATCTCAACACTGGCAGTGGTGTCAGTTTTAGCTCTTGAAAAGAGGGGAAAAACATTTCTTATCTGGAAAGTATGCGAGTGGCAGAGCAGATAAGATAATTGAGCCCTAAATGTGAGCTGGGATGGAAACAGGCTCTGTTGAGAGTCAGGTCTCATCTGCTGTGCCACAGTCCAGTGGTGCTTTAATGCATAATAAAAATCCAGGGAGTTTGGTCTTCCTGGGCAGGACACAGGGAATTTTCTCTGTGCTGCTTTTTCATTAAGAGACACGAGCCTTTAGTTCTAGTGTGAGACATTCATGTTCTCAGAGTCAGGAGTTTTCTGTCATTTGGGAGGCAGCCAGCCAAAAATAGGATTTTATGGCTCTCCTGCCTGTAACAACAGTTAGCTGCTAAAGTGAGGAATAGAAATTAAAAACCTTCCAACTTGTTGTTCCACTCAGGCAGCCTTTTCTCAAAATTCCTTGTGTGTTTTTAAATGTGCTGTCTTTCCTCTGTGGGGGATCCCCACAGAGGATAACAAGTTTTCCATTTCCAGCTCTTCCCTTGGACTGAGCTCCTGCTGTGGTTTAGAGGTTGTGTGTTCAGCACTTGGGCATGGCCCACATGGGTGGGAGGGAGCAGCACAGGTACCTAAAACCAGAATAAATGAGTAACTACAGGAATTACTACTTTGCTACACAAAGTCTTATTTTTCTTCTGTTTACTCCAACACTGCTTTTGTAGTTTTCCACTTGGTATCGTAGGGTTGCCTTACTAGAAAGTACATTACTCCAAATGAAGTTAGACTCTTACAGAATGAGACATAAGAAGGTTTTTGTTGCAAAAATCAGTATTTGGCTTAATATTTTGCTGCAGGAATGGTAGCCCAGGAGTTAGACCTGCTGCAGGTATTGAAGCTGTAGTGCAGAAAAAGATCTGCTTCTTTGTAGGGCCATATGGAAATGCCATAAATCAAAATATATCTCACTTAGGCATTTGAGACCTGCAGAAATGGCACGTAAATGTGTGATAATACAGTCTGAGCAGTTTGAATGATTAACTTGTACAAGTGCTCCAGATTTTAGGTGTGTTGGGCACCTTTTCTACATTGCAGGTTTCCAGTTCTTGTATTACAGGGAGATTTCTGCCAGTCTGACTTGGTGCCTTAAAGAAGGAGAAAGCTGCTGACTCAGGCTTGTTGTAAATTTGCTTTTTCCTGCCTACCTGAGTATTTTAGAACAACGCTGTTTATATTTTTAGAGCAGTGTTACATTTTTTGATATGCTGAGCCCAAAGCAGAGGTGGTCAAATGTTGGACAGTCTGTGCTGGATCCAGGCTCTGGAGGTATCCAGGGAGGCAGAGGGATGGGATCCCAGTCCCAGTGCTGTGCAAGCTGCTGCTTGGAGCCCCAGGCTACCAGTGCAGCTCTGCTGGTGTTTAAGGTCAACTCCTTGCAAATATTTTAGCAAGGCTTATATTCAAATGCTATTTATAAGACCAGACTAATTTCTTTCCTCCTAATGATGGCCTTTTGGCTGATGACAGGGCTGGAATCCTGAAGATCTGGATTCTGTATGCCACTAGTCAGCTGTGTATCCACAGGGAAGTTGTTTGCCAGCTTTCTGCCTCACTTTTTTATCTGTACTTAAATGAAAAAAAAAAAAAAGGCTGACTAATACCTGCCTCACAGGCTGTGAGAGCACAGTTAGTAGGCTCATGCTGTAGGATCCTTAGGAAATGCTGTAGGAATGTTCTAGGGGTTTATTATGGTTAAGGTCCTGCAATGAGAGAACTGGTTAAGCCTGGCTTATTGTTAGACCATTCATTAAGGAGCTTTAATAGCTGAAGCTGTGATAGAGGCTGTTCCTGCCTTCACCTGCAATTACCCTGGGCAGATCCAGGCTGCTGCAGCTCCAGAGGCTGGAGCAGAGCTCTGGAGCATCTGCAGGGTGTTGGAGCCTGCCTGGAGCGCCTCGCTGCCATTTCACGGCTGGCTTTGCATGCAGGTCATGCCGTAGCCTCAGTGGGTTTGGGCACTTCAGCGTGGTGATGATGACTTATTGTGCCACTAGTGAGCCCTCAGCACCTTTTCATGCCAAAAGAAATGCTGTAAAATCAGCTGAGTTTTTCCTGTGTGTGTCCGCCTAGCTCGGAATTTGCCCTGCTTTCACTTTGTGAATAGAACAAAATTAAAAAAAAAACAACTTTAAAAATGTATTAGCAACAGAAATTTTAGTATTAAAGGTGTAAACCAACTATTAAAAATGTCTTAGATCTGGTGTGAATGCTGACACTGTGGCTTTTAAAATTAATTTGATAGTATATTTAGAAAATATCAATCAGAATTTCTTCCCTTCTGGCCACCATTATAATAACATAACTATGCAAGGAAAGGCAAAATCCCCATTTTTGGTAAAGCTAGATACCAGTGTTTATTTCCCAAACCAAGTAGTCATTAGCAATAGAACCTTATTAAACTTTAATGACTTTCTTAAAATTCACACTCACTTGAAAGTCAAGATGCAGCCTTGACAGCTGGAGGTCCTAATCCAGACAGTTTTATTTATCTTTGCAGTTTCATCTCTTCATTATTATATACAGAAGTTGTTTTCTTTGTCTTGGCAGATTGGAAATGTATTGACTGAAAGAAAAATAGAAACTTGGATTGCTATTGAAACACAGGGCTGGAGGGGGTAGGGAGCAAGAGTTGGGAGCAGGAAATGGATTGGTGGTGAATTTAAATTTTGAATTTAATATCATGAGTCTGCAAATTAATATTAATTTTGAGCTGATTTTTAGAGCTAAATCAAAACCAGCTGTTATTCCACCTCTCCTTTCTCCCACTGAGCTGGGCTGGCACAAACCTTTGTGCTACCAGGGGTGGTTCAGATCAGCAAACTGGTCCAGCTGTGAAATAACCAGGGCTAGCAAAGGCAGAGATCTGGAGATAGCAACAGAAAGAGGGTGAGGATGGATGGTACCAACTTCTCCTACTGAATTACACTGTGAGTATTTTTCAGAGAAAAAAAAAATAAACGAAACAAAACCCCTGCCACTGTTGGATTTCAGTTAATGAGTAAATTAACGAGTTTCACTTTCTGTTTCTTGGGTATGAGTTGGCTCCAGCAGCTTTTGGGTTATCCTGGGGAAGACTCAAATCACTGTTGTCCCTCCTTTCACTGGGTTTTATTTATTTGAAGTGCTTTTTTTAGGAATCCAAATTTTGATGCTTTGTATTACTTGCACTTGCTTTTTTTTAAGGCTTTGTATTCAGCTTTAACTGAGGAAAGGCTTTTCTGAAAGGCTGACACAATTTGCTGTATGTTCATTGCTCAGTGTTTCATGATTTACATGGACAAATATCCCTGCCTTAAAAAGTGGGGGAAAATCCCAAGCAGAATGTTTGTATCAAGGCACTGACAATATTGACCAGATGATGATACAGGTATTCCAAATATGAAGTTGTATTTCATATTTCAGGTATACAGTGGCTTTTTAAAATGTTAGGCCATGGCCCCATATGACAGGAAGGTGAAAAGTGAAGGTGAAAAGTTACTTCATAATATTAAATCAAATTTATTGTTTAGGCGTGAGAATTACTTGCAGTATTTAACCAAGATCCTAAAGGTAGAAAAGGAAGCACCAATTTATATTAATTGTTTCCAAATAGACTGTTTCATTAATACAAATGAGGAGAGCTTGTTTGTTTTTTCTTCAGGAAAATCATTATTTTGGGTAAACAGTGCAGCACAAGAGAAGACTTTCTGAGCACTGCTAAGCCCACCTGGCTTCCAAAGCCATCCAGGAAATTTGTGATGGGTGTTTGAAGAATAAAACATCTCAGTTTAAAGAGCATTTGGCTGCTGGTGTCAGGGCCTCCCCATCCAGAGAGCGTTTGCAGCTGCTGTCAGTGAGGCTGTGGGTGAGCGCCTCAAGGGTGTGGAGAGAGGAAGTCAGAAAACTTTCATATTTCTGATCTCTGTCTCTGAACAAAGGGGATGTTTCATCAGTGTCATCATTCATAAATTAGGAACTCCTGCACAGCAGAGCTGAAAGGCTGAGGGGCAGGATGAAACCCCCTCTGTGTTCCAGCAGCTTGGAAGTTGTGTCCGAGAGGGGATTGTGGGACTGAGGAGTTCCCACTCACCCTGGCAGGAGGAACTGCTGTCACAGAGCCACAAGGCTTTGCTCTGCTGTTTGTGGCAGGATCTGAGAAGGGAGTGAAGAATCCAGGCAAAGCTCATGTTTTCATGAGGGAAGGGATGGCTGTGCTGGGCTCTGTGCTGCTGCTGGGGCAGGCTGCTTTGTAAAAAGCAGGGGATTTAACAGCAAAGAGCAAAAGCTGGTGGTAGGAGGTGGCCAGGGAGCTGTGTGTGTGTGCAGTGGGGAAGGTTTTGGTTCCTGTCTGGGGATGTCCCCACCCTGCCCAGGCTGCTGTGCCCAGCAGGTATTGTTCCCTCTGGAGCAGGATGAGGTCAGCTCCACCACCTGGAGCCTTCTCATGGCTCTGTTGGTCTTTTTGGTGTCAGGGCACCAGGAGAACAAAAATTATTATTGTTAAAATTTAGATTCCATGAACTGTCACGTGATGTATTCTGTCTTCTCAGGGGAAAATCTGTATGCAGTGTACAGGGGTTTTCTTGTTCAGGAATTTGTGTGCTGCCTTTTTTTTTTAGGTCAGGTCAGGGGAGAACACTTTGCCTTTTTATTGGGAGCTTGCAAAGATTTTGGAGGATCTTTGCTGCTTTTGTAGGTTGCTCTGATGTCTTGGACCACCTTTGAGTGGGACATCTGCACAACTGAGTTTTAGTTTTACATTATCCTCCATCTCCTTTTTTCTCCTCTCCTCCCCCCACTATTGCTATCATCCTTTGTGTTCTATGTACAAAAAGTAAGCCTCAAACACATTTTAAAATGTCCTCCTTAAGAGGCTGCATGTTCAGGGGTTTGATCCTTGAATTGCCATAGAAAAAACAAACAAGCTCTCCTCATTTGTATTAATGAAACAATCTATTTGTAAACAATTAATATAAATTGGTGCTTCCTTTTCTACCTTTAGGATCTTGGTTAAATACTGCAAGTAATTCTCACACCTAAACAATAAATTTGATTTAATATTATGAGATAAATGAATGTGCTGATGTTCTACAGTGAGATTGGGGGGAAAAAAAAAAAAACAGTTAATGAGACATCTGGGTGGAGGGAGCAAGCCTCAAATGAAAGTTGCATTTCTGTTTTACGACAAGTCAAAATATTTTGGAATTAAAAGCAAAACTGAAGCTGAGTAACTTGATATTTTTTTTTGACCACTTATACTTAGAGCTTATTTTTTGTAATTACTGGGGCGTGACTTTAAGGTCTGGGCAGGACTTTGTGGCTTGTTAACATCGGGTTGAGCCTCTGATGTTGCAATGAAGAAGGAAGTGAGCGTGTGTCTGCTTGGGGAGGGGGGCTGCAAAGCACTTCTGCCTGCATTAGGTGGGAATTGCAGCTGGCTGGGTATTTTTAGCTTCAGAATACCTCATTTTGAATGTGAATTTTGTTTTTTTTTCTTGTTAATCTGTGTTTGGTAGATTAGGCTCTCAGTTACTGTTTTAAAGAGGTTTTTTTTCATACCAAAATGCACTAAACCAAATTTTTTTCATTAAAGATTTTAAGTTCTTTTTTTTTTTAAACCTCCAGATCTGCAGGACTGGGTGTGATGCATTTCCCAAGTGTTTCTTGTCCTCTGTTGGTTTTTGCAGTTTTACATCCACTGGTGACATAGCAGGGATTGCAGGGAGAGGTGAGGCTTCATAGATCAGCCTCTGTTTCTCCAGCTTAAGTAAAGGAAAAAAAAAAGGAAAAATAATGGATCTGATTTTGTTCCCTCCTTGTAAAAACATGCAGCAATAAAGACTTTTTCCTGGGTTGGAGGGAGAGGCAAGATAGCCTCAGTTTCCATCAGTGTTTTCCAGTCATTTGCTGTAACAGGAGTGATTCACTTCTGTTCAGTTGTACATCCTGGCCTGAGGTGAGACATATAGAATGTTTCTATTTTAAGCTCTTCAGCATAATGGATGAATAAACTCACCCTTCTCATGGTTTTTGCCACAGTGGGTGAGTTTTCCTGCCTGGCATCTCTGTTTTGCTGCCCTGGCCTCAAATACTCACCCTCTGAAAGCTCTTGGTGTGCTGTCAGCACCGGTGGAAGAAAATGTTCTGACCATTTTGCTTCAGGGCTGCTGATCTTAAGCTGCACTGTTAAAAATAACAAGTTTTCTGAAGGCACACAGTGATGTTTTCCTGGCTCCCTGCCTCTTCCCCCCCATATTGATGTGATTAAATGCCACCAAAACTCAGCAATCCTTAGGTCAAGTGCATAGCCATGTGCGTTTGCTGCAGCATTAATAGTGGCTATTCCAGCTTTCTCAAAGAAAATTAAGGGTGTTTTTATAAATGGAAGTCTTCTGCTTGCCACAGTAAGTACCACACAAGCAGTTTATGTACCAGGGCATAGAGTTTTGAGATTATTTTTATACTGCTTTAAACTGTCTCATGCTGACTCAGTTTGGCTGTAAAAGGCTGAAGTCATGTGATCTAGAGCGAGTTTGGCTTTTTTTTCTGAAGGGAGAACAGGTGTATGGTGGAGTTCAGCTTTGCTCTATGACCAAAACATTTTTTATGTTGATCTTGAAGGACCTGCTTTCCCCAAATACCGTTTCACTCCCTGAGCTTTGGGATCAGTCTGTCTTTACCAGTGTTAGGGTGGCCCTTTCACATTTTCTGTTTGAGAAGCTGCACTGAAGTCTGAGTGTGTTATCTGAAATCAGACAGACCTGATGGTGAATGCTTTCAATTATGGGTTCATAAATCCACGCTGGAAGGAATGACAGGGCAAAAAGGCATTTCCAGGCTGATCATGGCAGGAGTACCTTCAACCATCTGAACTCCTTGTAGCTTTTCCAGGATCTTTCTACAGTGATCTGGGCATGTTCCACTGTTCTCAGAAGCAGCTTTAAAATGTTATCCTCCCTCCTAAATTAGATGCCAAATGATGCATTTACTGAATTGAATCAAGAAACCTCTGGTGGTTGAAATGGCAATCTTGAGCCAATGTGTAAGGCTGCCAAATTTATCTGCTGAGGAGCTCAGAGAATTTATCTCTGTGGAACTCAGAGCTGGTAGTTAAAGAGCGCTGCTGCTTGTGTTGGGACTGACTTAAACCCAGATCCCAAACCATAAACATAAATCAGATTTTGCTGTGGAATTTGTTTGAAAAGCTTTTGCGTGCTTGTATTTAATTTTAATGATGATCTATTTTAATTGGCTGTCAAAAAATGCTTCAAATGAATACAATGCACTTCTCTTCATGTGCTGGTCATCTTGTTCCTTGTCTTTAAAGTGCTTGGGCTCTGTGTGTCCCTGTTTGGGAAGATAGTGCAGCCTTTTGAAGGACACATTTTCTATGTAGCCTTTAAAATCTCTCTGGTTTGTTGAGTGTTTGCCTTGGGTTACCCTTTGAGATTTGCAGGGCGGTTTGTGTTTGTTTTGACTGTTACTTTATCTCACTTTCTCAGAAAGTCCAGTCTCTTCTGGCCATGAGCGATAGGAGGGGAGGATGAGGAAGTTCTGGGAGCCTGTGTTTGGAATGCTGCACTTCAGGTGCCCACTTGGATTCTTTTCCTTAGCTTTGTGTTGATTCTGTGATTGAAAGAGCTGTGAAAGATACTGTGATGATGGAAATGAATTAAATGGTTAAATGTCTCAGTCATTCACATGTGAAATGTCCTTTCTGCTTGTACTTCCCTTGTTGTTCCTGTGTATTGGCTAATCTTTGGTGACAAAACACTCCTTGTCCTGCCCTTGCGCAGCAAAGGGGCTTCCTCAGCTCATTTATTAATCTTTAAGCTTAATATTGACATTTCACTTCCAGGTTTGGAAGCTGTTTTACGCTGCAGACAGAAGTCAGTGTCACATTTACAGTGTAGTGGTTGGTTCATATCCCCATGTTTGCCTGTGTGTTATTGTTCTGCACACACTGTGGGAATTGTTGTGTCTTCCTGAGTAACACTCACACAGCAGTCATGGACATGAAATGGGTTTTAAAACACAATGTAAAAATGGCAGTGCTCTCATTTAGCTCTTCACCAAAGCTATGAATGATGCAGTGCTGAGAGCTGGTGGTCTGCACACTGAAGGATTTGTGCAGATGGATTTCTGGGTGGGTTGATATTTTTTTAAAAAGCATTTGGAAGCTATACATGTTCTGTGTGTGTAGTGGGGTAGCTGAATCATCCTCTGTGGAAAAGAGCATTTTAAATCTACTTATTCATCCAGTGCCAGCACAGGTGAAATCTTTGGGTCCTCCTTTTATCCAGGTGAGCTGAGTGCTGAGGTGCAATGTAGGGTTGCTGTGAGTTAATTCAGGCTGTGCTGAGAACTGAGCTCCTTCTGCATCTCATCAGGGCCCCTCAGAGATGCTGTGATCCGTGGGCACTGGCAGCTGAAACTCAAACTGGGGCAGCCAGGTCAGTGCATGGATTCTGCAGATGTTCCTGAGGTGGAGCTTCTGGCCAGGCTGACCCCGTGTGCCCGCAGCCCTTATTGCTGGGAGACACTGCTGGATCTTAACCCTTGGTTTGCAAAATCAGTTCTTGGAGCAGCAGTGCTGTGCTTGCCTCCATCAAACAGTTAAGCTACTTAGAAGCCACGGTTTTAATCTTTATGGAGAAGGAAATGGGAGTGTTGCAAGCACACCTTATATAATGCACATAATTACTGACGTTACCCACACTTCTCCTACTGATACCAAGTCCTGGGCAGGCAGCTGGCACTTCCCCAGAGAGGTGACACATGACAAATGTGTTCTGGCCATTTTGCTGAGCAGGTTTCCTGTAACAGCTGCCCATGAGCTGCTCTTCAGACTCCCAGAGACCTCTGACAAATCTGGTTTGGTTTGTGTTTCAGTGCTGCTTCCTGTAGCATAACTTAAAATGCATAAGGGCAAATGGAGGCCATTGTATGCACAGGCCTGTCTGTGCTCTTTCCTGATGCTTCAGGGAATTTGGATTTGTGTTTTTGGGAAAGCAGGAGGGACCTGGGAATTGGGTAGACTTGTGAACATAGAAGTTTTGGTTATAATACTCAGATTTTGTGCCTTCATCTCCTCTCTGTAGCACTGATTGCAGCTATAAACAAGGCACTATATTAATATGCTTGGGTTGACATCTGTGGATTCTGCTTTGGTATTGAATGAGTGCTGCTGGGCAACTGAAGGCCATATGATGTCTGAAAAGGAAGAAATTCTGATAAAATGGATACTCTTCTTCAGAACTAAAACCAGCTATGGATTCCTGCAGCCTGGCCTGTGCCTTACTCTATTGCTGCCAACTGTAGTTGTAGACACTTTGGAACAAACCCTTAATTTAGTGTAAATATTTGCAAAGTATTCAAGCTTTGCTTTACATCTGGTGTTTTCTGAAAAGCCCCTGACCAGGAGTCTTCTAAAGAAAATTCAATATCTTGGGGGGGGAAAAATAATTTTAGTTGACATCTGATGCTGGCAAGGGGCTCTGTGAGTGCTGGGGAAAACTCTGTGTATTAGTAGTTCTTTGTCCTTGCTGACATACTGCTGCTAATTTATTATAGTAACATGGCAGACTATTCAAATGGGGTGCCACATTTAGCTAAACTTGGTGGAAATATATATATATATATATATTTAAGTTCATGCTTGGAGAACTTCATTGTCAGTATAAATGTTGCAGTTTAGTGGGTGGTGTCACAATTCACCAAAAGGTTTGCCTTAAGAGAGCTGAAGACTGGTTTGGGGTTGCAGAGGGAGCCTGCATGAGTTTGGGGACACATTCTCAGTAAAAGCAAACTCTCACTTCTGGATTTATCTCTTTATTGGGATAGCAAATAGTTTTTTATCCTCAAACCAAGGGCTTGTGACCCTCTTTGCAGTCCCTTGGTGAAAATGAGTGAATCTTGTTCTGTGTCCATGGTCGTGTGTGAGCAGATATCCTTCCAGTTGCTGCTTTGTGGTGGGTTTGTTTTAGCTTCTCTCCATTGATGAATGAGGTTGTGACTTTCAGGTATTCAAAAGTGAGGTGGAATTTCTCTTTTGTCCTACTGGATTTTTATCAAGAGTCCTGGTAATTCAAGAAGGCCATGGTGTACTCTGAAGGTGAGCCTGCTGCTGTTTGGTAATTCTAGGAGCCCCAGGCCTTATCTGGAAGTGTTATTAGTTGCCTGCTTGCACACAAATGTCTGAGCTCTTGTCAGATTAGAAGTCAAACCCAAAAATGTGGCTTTAACCTGAAATACACAACCAGTACTCCAAAACTGCGTGACTCTTCATTGCAGCTCTCCATCCATGTGCTTTCTTTGCAGCTGTTTTGGTCATGGACTAAAAACATTGAACTTGATCAACAGGGTATAAAATAACTTCCTAAGTTTGGTTTGCACCTTGAATTTTTTTTTGCCTTGCAAAAGATTCCATGTGCTAAACAAGAACTAGTTCTGTGCTGTCAGTGAGGCTTCCTTAGAGGCCATCTGGCTCTTCAAATCCCAGTTATTCTGGCCTACCTCAAACCTCAGGTAAATTTAAATTTTGCACATCACAGTGCCTGTGGTAACTTGTTTGGAAGTGAGAAGTGGACATGCCCAGGATGCTTGTAAGTTCAGGGTTTACTCCTGAGGCCTGTCTAGAGGCAGCAGCTGCTGTGGATGTGTCCTCAGAGAGGCTTTTGTGGGGCTGTCACAGGTCTGAGTGAGGGGACAGTGACAGATCCAGCTGTTGGCAGAGTGAGCACAAAGTATCTCTGTGGTTTGGAACATCTGGGGATCCAGGGGGCAGCGTGGCTGTGGAAAATGAAACATTTCTAGGCTGGTGTTTTGGAGTGAAACAAGAAGGTGAGAAAGAGTTTGGTCCTCTGTAGTTTTGTCTAAAACAGAAGGTGTAGGGGGAGAGTTGAAAAAAAAATCAGTTTTTTATATTAATGATTATACTGTACTTTTATATTAGTATAGAAAAAAACCCTAAAAACTAATGATTTGAAATTTAGGGAGGGACAGATGTGGTAAGAGATTATCAAGTCAGTGATGCAGCACTTGAAAATGGAGGCAAATGCTGTGGGGTGTTGCATATTTACTTCCCTTCTTCAAAATGTCCTCAAATTCCTGCAATTTATTTAAATTAGTTTCTCTTCTTCCACTCTCTTCTGACCTTTAACGTTTCTTGGCAAAATTTACATTGCATTCAAATTAAACAGGGGAATGTTTTCCCAAAAGAATCTTTCTAATTGTAACCTCTTACTTGAAATCTGCAGCGAGTACATTAAATATAATGTACATTTATTGATAGAAGTTATTTCTGCTCATTTGTGTGGGTGTTATATACAGTCACATCACTGTTTCAATCACTGGCTGTCTGACTGGTTCCTAGAAAATACAGGGG